TGAATTTATTTTCTCTGCCGAAAATTCCCAGGGCCGTGATAATCGGCAATGGCCCCCGCAATGAAATAGAAATTGTTTTTTTTTGTTGTTAGGTTAGAATAAATTTAGGATTAGGACAGAATTAGAACTTCTCCTGATCCCCTCATCCCTCATTCCCCGAGTAACGATGGCCCCCAATCCCCGAAATGATCCCCCCGGGAGCATAAGTGCAAACCCTCCCATCACCCCTACTGAACCCGAAATAATTAGTTATGGTGAAGACATGAGATCAAAATTTAAGACGTTGAGTAGTCATGGGCAAAGAGCGGCATTGGATGCCCTAGAAATAAATTTTTTCGGAAGCCCAGAGGTAATGGTTGATAGATTTGTCAGATTTAAGGTTAGAGAAAGATGCGGTGATAAAGTAGCGCCATGGGACAGTACAGTCGATTCATCTCTCATCCCCATTTCGATGTTCAATTTTCCACCTCAATTTTGGGAAAATTCATCAAATAAAGATAGCCGTTTAGTTGAAAATATAACTACCAGACATACTCCTGAGTCAGAAAAAACTCTAAATACCCCAATCAGTTTTCACAGCCCTGTTCGGATCGAGTTGCCCGCCCTAGCGGTTGTCCCCTCAACCCGACTCTCTCACCTGAACCCCCAAAACCCTACACCAGAATATCCTCATACCCCTCCCGAACCGATCCAGACCCTCAACCCCCATTCAGTACAATACAACCAAATTCCCCCGGGACCGGCATCGACCGTCAATCCCACGTCTCCAGAATATTCCCAGATCCCTCCCGAACCTATCCAGACCTCTGACCCTCCCTTACAAAAATATCCCCAAATTCCTCCGGGACCGGCATCGACCGTCAATCCCACATTACCAATCCATCCCCAGATCCCTCCCGAACGAACCCAGACCCGCAACCCCTTTTCAGTAAGATACAACCAGACTCCTCCGGGACCCCGACAACCCTCTATCCCCACGACCCCAGAACCCCTGAGTTATAAAGAGAATAGGCCGACAGAACAAAAGGAAAGATTTAGAAGGACTAGATTAGCAGAAGAAATGGAAAAAATTGAAGAAAGTAGGCGAATTGAAGAACAGAGAGAAAAGGTTGAAAATAGAGTTGCATTCACAAGGTTGGGACCATCAGCTCCACAACCATTGAGAAAAAAGTATAGGAGATCAAGGAAGAGATTTGAGCAAAAAGAAAAAATGAAAAACCAGACCCCAACCCCGATAAATCAAATCCCACCTCTTATGTCCCTGAAAATCCCATGTCCCTTTAACCTGTCACACACTCCATATCCTCAACCCCTCCAAAGCCACATCCACAAACACTTTCCCCTGGCCCAAATTCCCCCTCTTATGTCCCTGAAAATTCCATGCCCCTTTAACCTTCAGCATACCTGCTCTCCTCGACCCATGAACATTTACCATCCCCCTGTCCTGGACCACATCCCACCCCTCATCCCCCTAAACGTTTATCCTTCCCCTGTCCTGAACCACATCCCGCCCCTCATGTCCCTGAATATCCCAGTCCCTGTCGAATTATACCCACCACTCACTCCCTACCTCTACCCACCCAGAAACCCGAAAATACCTCGAAGAAACCCAGGAAAGCCCCGAACTCCCAAGGAACCAAGAGATCCCCGAACTCCAACAAACCCCAGGAACCCGAAACCAGTCCCGAAGTAGCCCAGGAAAACGCCGAATCCCATGACGATCCCACTACCAAAGTACCACAAGAAGATGACAAATTCCAAAGCACCTCAGAGGACTCTATGACATCATCGAATCCCAAAAAATCCCAGAAACGACGAAGATTCCCAGCACGATTCAGAATGCGGAAGAATAACACAAGGAAACCCCGAAAATCCCGAATCCCAACACACCCCATTGGAGCCCATGAATATCCCACACCCGAACAAACCCCAGAAAACCCGATCCTGCCCACAGTACCCCAAGAAAATCCCGAACCCTCAGAAATAACCTCAAGCCAGTCCCCAATATCCCAGGAATATCCAGAACCCCAGGAATACCCAACCCCTAACGAATGCCCTGAACATCCCGAGTCCGTAAGAGTAACCCCAGGCCAGTCTAAAAAGGCCCCGGAAAACCCCCAAACCCCAGGAACCCCAGAGGAGAAATAAACCGACCCGGAAGCGAGTAATGATTAGGAATAGTTAGGAAGTTAAGTTAGGATTAGCATTAGGCAAGCCCCCCAGCACGAAAAAAAAAGGAATAAGGATAAGAAGTAAGAAGAGAATTAGGTTAGTAACCCCCGAAGAAAAAAAAAAGATCCCCCCGCCCCCCCCAGGAAAAAGGAAAGAATAAGGTCAGAGATGAAGTATGTGAAGATAATGAATTGAGAAGGGCCGTGGCAAAATTACCACCCCGAGAAGACAGAGATATCAGCACCTGGAATCGGTTTCGATCATTGGTCGGACCCGCTGCCCCTCACATTAATGAAAGAAAAAAAAAAAAAAAACGTTGGAAATGGGAGGTAAAAATACGGGTTACCAATGGGTTTGAATGAATGATATTATAAAATAATCCTATAGCCCTCCTTCCAGCTCTTCACTCCTGGAGTCGCTGAGAAGGTCACGAAGAAGAATAATGACACTGTTTTTGCTTAACAATGGAACGGAAATAATGGTTTGGAGTCGTTTAACATGGGGATGTGTAAACCCCATGTATGCACTACCCCCGGGACTCTGTGATGAGGCAGAATTTTGCGCCCCCCCCCCCTTCCCCCTAATTCATACAGCTTATTTTTGTGACATTTGTGACCTTGGCCGGGAATTTAAAATAGATTAATTCTCGAAGAAGGCACGATATATCCGGGAAAATCAAATTAGGGGCAAAATCCAGTAATCTAAATAATTTAAGGGGGACCTGAAATAATAAGAGGGTGGGGGGGGGGTCTGAATAATTACTGGGGGGGATTTAAGTAGATTGAATTTTAATATATTCCAGTCTCCATAATACACAGATATTAATACAACAATTACTCCGGGCCTTTTAACTAATATAACTCGAGGGTGGGGGATAAGGCCAACTCACTTGCGGCTACGCGAAATAATATAATAAAAAGAAGGGGAGGCTCTAACTCTGGAAAATGGGGGAGAAGTGAGGGGGGCCGACTGAAAAGGTAATAATTAATAGGGGGCTTAATCTACAACTAAAATAAATTTACTGGAGGCTCACCGTTGGGGGGAAATTGGCACGGGGCAGGGAAATTCGTTGGGGCAGGGAATAAAAAATGGGGCACTCACGAGCAATGGTGTCCTCAGAATTCTCTCGGTTTTCCTCTGGGCGTTTGCCTCCTTCCTTCCTTCTCTCTCTCTCTGCTCTTTCCGTGTATCCTCTCCACAATAGTTCTCCTCCTCACAATCTTTCCAATAGTTCCTTTCACACACGAGAATAGTTCCTCTCCTCGCAATAGTTCTCCTCCTCAGATTCTTTCCAATAGTTCCTCTCACAGTATTTCTGAAAATAGTTCCTCCAATAATTCGTTTTACACACTAATTCCTTTCCTCACACTTTGTTCCTTCACAATTTGTCAGGGTCTTTTCACAGGGTCTCTTCGGTGTAACTCTTTTACTTTACGGGGCAGTGACTGGTAGGGAAGCTGTGGCACGAGTGAAGGCGGCAATCATCCTCACCTCTTCCTCCCGATTATGGTGATAGTCGGTGTTAATCGGGGGCATTCGTTATTGTCTGTCCTTTTCCTTGATGCGCGAGTGCTAGGGCGGGGGGAAATGAGGACGGTGGTAAGGAATATCTGGGGATGGGTGCCCAACAGTGGCGAAAAAAGAGTAACTTAGACCTAACTTAACCTTGGAAACATAAGCTGTATCAATTAGGGGGCCTGGGGGGGGGGGGGGTGCAAAATTCCGCATCGTCACAAGTCAATTTGGCATTAAAGTGCTACATCAATTCACCGTCGATGAAAAAATATCCATTTGATCGGTAAAAATCTCTGCAATCATGTATTACAATGTTCATAAAAAGATCGGTGTAGAAGATATTTTTAAAAAATTTAAAGATATGAGAATTTTTAAGCCAATGCTAAGAATGTTTGTAGCTTTGAATAATTTCACTCAATTGCTCAGAAAAAAATATTAGCATTTGAAAAAAGTGATTCTTTATAGAATTAAGTTAGAAACGTATGGCGAGGATTCATGAGTTTTGTGCTAATAAATTGTTTAGTAATTTTAACCCCATATCGAACAAAACAATCAGCTAATTATGTAAGGGCAAACTCTATATGCGCGCACTTATTTCGAAGTAGCGCGATACGTAGTAGATTTAAGCCGTACGGATAATGTGATGCAGAAGATATTTTTCAAACATTGAAAAAAGTTTAAGTGGAAAGTTTGAAAAAGTTAAGGTTGTTAATCGAATTATTCCGTGATGAATTGGAACAAATAAGTGAGGTACCAAAATCATCTGAGCCATTATTTGAGTAGTAGAGTAAATACTTTAATTGAGTTTGCAAATCATATTTTTGACCATTGAATAAATACATTATTATAAGTAGAAAAATATCACTGTAAATACTAGTTTTTACATAAAAAGTTTAGATAACAATGATACTCAATTCTAAAGATTTTACTGACTTAAACAATACTTGAATATGCGTAAAATTGATAACAATTCCGATATTAGCCTCGATTGCCTTGCCTTTCCAGGATTAAAACAAAATTACGAATAATTGAAAGAATTATCTATTAAAAACGATAACAATGATAAGAAATACCTTTCTTTTCATTCCAAACGGGGCTTCTTGAGAAGAGAGACTCCACTGCAGCTTGGGGCATCATCATTCAATATTGGACCCTCGTCGAAGAGACTTGATTCAAAGTGAATGGGAGAATAATGTTCTTTGGTATTAGCAGACCCCCCATTTTATCAGTGATGAAACACCCCAGCTTAACGATCAATGGGTGTGTAGCATCACTTCATACATCTCTCGATAAATCGATTTCCCTCGAGTTTGTGCAAGAATTTCCTGGGCAACCTGAACAAGTAGCAGAGCACTTGAGCCCCACTTTCCTGCATCCACATCTGTTTGAACTGTTGCCTTTGCATGAACAGGAGAACATCTTCAGGATAGAGTCTGGAGCGGGCGGATTTTTTCAACCTTCTGGTTTAGTCACCTCATTGCTCAGCCATTTTTGGATCTGTAAGTAGACTCGTCGCCGACGCTCTTCAGCCGCTTCTATAGTAGATGGAAGTTTCAACAATCTAACTTCTGTCGTTGCTCGTACAGTAGAAAGCATAAAACTATTATAACATAGGTTGTTAATGGAGGTTTCCGTGTTTTTTGCTCCATACACAGCCAGCATCAAACGTTCAATTGCTTCATTGATACCACCCTTGGTAGAATTTGGATCGTTGAAAATTACAACACCGATGAATCATCTTGAATTCTTCTTCAGAACATTCAGAACCGCTCACGTCCCTTTTCCACTAATTGACCTCGTGGTATCACCTCCTGAAAATGCGTAGATGAATAATATATTGTCCTTCAAGTCTTTGTGTTCTTGAATTGAATACAACATATTAGCCATTCTGCGACTTGTTTGATGAAGAGAATTTCTTTATTCTCTGGCGTCAGGGCTGTGAGCAATATCAAGAGATCAACGTCTGTTCCAACAACTGCAACCTTCTCATGGCATTGAAGCTGATCAACACCAGTTGTTACGATCAAATGATCAACATCTTCACGAGCTTGCAGCATGTGTATCCCACTGTTGACCAGTTCAATTTTGAGGAAATTAATGAATCTGTCTTTGTTCTTATCATTAGCTGAAAATGAAGACTGATTCAGGGTCACCACCATGTCCATCTCAAAAACAACTTCGGTTCCTTTGTTGCGGCTGGAGCGTCTCAGTCTCTCGTACGACTTGATTCCAACATCGGTCTCCTTGTAACCATTAAAAACCACGATATTATTTCGTCCGTGATTTCTGATTATATACTCTTGATACCTTCTGATGATATGTTGATACGTACTTCGACGAACCCAGCCCACTTTGTGCAAGATGAATCCTCCGTCAATGACAATTTCGTACTGAGTCCCGTTCATATCGCCCATCGGTCGAGATGTGAAGGCGTGGTACAAATCTGACTCTTTTAAATTCACCCATCAAAAGCTAGCACAGCCAATGCAGCACACTTCAACACGTTCGATGGAAATAAACAGAGGCAGTTTTTCACGAATTAATTACGCAAATCAAAAATTTTTCTTTTTATTTTTTTTTTTTGATTTTTAAGGCTGTGTCAGGATTATATCAAGCCAGCACAGCCATACGAAAAATTGAGTCATATTATTTTTTGATTGTTTCTAATGGGTGAGCAAACTCTGGAATAGCGAGAGCAAGTTTGCTCACCCTTCATAAATATGAATTAATTAATTAATTAATCAACAAGGCTAATTTCCATTTTCATACT